TAGTATAAAGAAATTCCAATTTAAAACAGATTTATTTGAAAAGCTAGGAAATGAAATATTCAAATATATGTAAAATGAAAAATAATTAATAATGAGCTATGACTATTTTTATTGGAATAAGATTTAGTTTATGGCTCTAACGTTGTGGAATAACTTACACCCATTACAATGAATTTAACTCTCTTTGTTTGTTTCATTTGTATTAATGCTATTTTGCTTGATTCAATAGATAAGGTAATACAAAATACACAATAATTGATTGAATTTAATGATAAAATTAGTTGTTTCTTAGGAAAGTCTTTTATCCGTTTTACTAAACTAACTCATTAACATCATAAATGAATCAATATTATTTTTAATCTTTATGTAACAAAAATACAACAACCAATGAACAAAGAATAATACAAATAAATCATTGGATACTATTTACATGAAAAGAAGTAATAAAAAAAACAAATGAATTTGACTTATTAATCACAAGATTCACAACTAATTGACTTGACAAAAACTTTAGTAATATTCTGAATACTGTAAATTTGTTGTATTTAACACAAGCACAACAAACAACATTCCAATGAAATAAGAATATTATCAAAAAATATTCCAATTAGAAATTATATTACACATGCATAAATCAAGAATTGAAAAATAAGTAATAAATACATCAAAAATAAGGTAGATACGATACCTTTAAATTGAAGAGATAATTGATGATAAAATGATTGAATGATACTATTTCGTTATGTATAACAATATTAATAACAGAACTAGAAATAGAAAGAATAAATTCTAAAGTATTCTAATTTATTCCAAGGTATAGTTATAGAACTGTCAAATCAACATTCAGTTATTGACTTGTTCAAAATGACTCAGTTAGAAATGGTTTATTTAATGACTGTAGCGAAATACCTTAAAAGCTATGAAGATTTAGTTAATTTTTCTATGATAAACAAGAAAACAAATGAAGGACTACAATCATTTAAAGAGAATTTATGTTTAGACAAAGACAATGTAATAAAAGAATTAAAAATATTTGGTGGAATGACAAATTATCAAGGAACAAATGTTATTTCATCGTTAAAATCAAATTATGAATATTATGATATTGATGGAAATATTCAAGGAATTCCTATAAACAAAATTCGTAATTGGAAAACAGATAGTCTTTGTAGTAATGTCAATGAAATGAAGTCATTAAAAAAACTTAATATTACTCTTGGTGGTGATATGCAAGGATGGATTTGTGCAAAAGAAATGAATTGGAAAGGATTGAGAGATATAGAAACATTAAGCCTAGTTAGAATCACTCTTGAAGAAGAGCCTTCTACACCACTTGAAGAAGATGAACTTAAACAAGTTTATGAAGAATTTATTTCAATTCTTAAAGAAATTGGAAATCGACCAGAAATTATAGTTGAAGGAGTTGCATTAGAATATGTCCAACAAATACTTTCACTTGGAAACAATATTAAAGTTATTAAAAAAGTAAGAAGTATTGATGGAATTGAAGAATTAAGTAAAAACAAACGCTTTATTGCAATTATTGATGAAATAGAAGGAGAAGTACTTCCATTAATTGAAAGTGGAATACTTACTAAATATGGAATTACTAAAGTAACATTTACTTGGGAAGATGAACACGGAGAAGGAAAACATCCTACAATAGATTTAAGACAATTTGAATGTTTAAAGAGTATTCATTATGGACCAATGGATGTTCAATGTGAATGGATTTTACCAACAACAATAACTGAATTGAGTGCACTTAAAGAAAATATTACTAATTTAAATCAATTACAACAATTAAAAGAATTAACATTCTCATCTATTCCACAATGTTCATTGGAACAATTAACCACATTAGAATTATATGAACCACATGACTTTGATGGAATTGAAAAATTAAAATGTCAAGAGATTCATATTTTTTATTATAGAGGACAAGAATTAAATCTTGATAAATCCACTGCAAAGAAAGTCATTATTAGAGACTGTTTTTCTCATTCATTACATCTTGGAAATCAAGTAGAACGATTAGAAATTAGTAGTAGTGAGTTTAAAAACATTGAATGTCCAGAATCATTAAAAGATTTAGTGTTAAACAATCTTGATAATTTAGAAGAAATCAAATTCAATAAGTCTTTAAAAACATTCCAATGTATGAGATGTATGAAGCTTACTAAAATAGAATTACCAATAACTGTTGAATCTATCAAAATGATGAGAAGTGAACAAAAACACATTTTGAATTTAGACTATTTTAAACAA